TCAACGTTGGGAGGGTTTCTAATGTCCTGGCCCCACTGGTGGACCTCCTGATGGCCCCTGGTATTTCTGGCCACGGTGTGACACAGAGTGTTGGACTGGATGGGCCATTGGCCTGATCCAACATGGCTTCTCTTATGGTCTTATGTCTGGGGCAAGGGATGCTCTGTATTCTTGGTGCTTGGGGGGGCAACAGTGGGAGGGCTTCTAGTGTCCTGGCCCCACTGCTGGACCTCCTGAGGGCCCCTGGTATTTTTAGCCACTGTGTGACACAGAGTGTTGGACTGGATGGGCCACTGGCCTGATCCAGCATTGGCTTCTCTTATGTTCTTATAAGAGGGAACCAGATAAACATATGGAGCAGAGGTCCATCCGTGGCTCTTAGCCACAGGGTATAGATAGGAACTCTTGGTCTGGGGCAAGGGATGCTCTGTGTCCTTGGTGCTTGGGGTGGGGGGCAGCAGTGGCAGGGGCTTCTGGTGTCCTGGCCCCATTTATGGACCTCCTGAGGGCACCTGTTATTTCTGGCCACTGTGTGACACAGAGTGTTCGACTGGATGGGCCATTGGCCCGACCCAACATTGGCTTCTCTGATGTTCTTATGTTCCCTTGTGAACAGGAGTCGAGAGCAGAGTGACGGAGCCTGATGCCTTTGCGATCAAACCTCTTGGCTAAAGCCTGCCACCTGCCACCCGTTCTGTTGCCCGCTCCTTCCCCAGAAATAATCTTAAGAGAGACTCACCGTCCTCTGCCTCGGAGAGATCGCCAGGCTCCAGGACGTAGCGCAGTTTGGTGTAGTTCACATAGCCCGGCTCGACCGCCTGGCTCTCCGGCTCGGCGCTGGGAGAATCCTTGGGCGACCCTCCCGCCTCGGAAGTGCTCCCAGAAGAGGCGGAGCTGGGAACACCGCTGCTGTGCAACCCCAAACTCTTCCCCAGATCCCACGAGGCCGAGGAACCCTGGCCCCCGGCCCCCGAGTCAAGAAGGGGCTCCAGCCCGGCGCCCGCTTCCGCTTCCGTCGGGGCGGAGCCTTTGGCCTCTTTCGCCCTCCGGAAGATGTCTGCGACGAACTCCTTCGCCATGGCGACGGCGGGCGAAACGTGGTTTCCCGTGTCCTGCGGAGGTGCCGGGACGGTTTGCTGCGATGCGGCCACGCTCCGGCAGGGGCCACTGTCTCTTTCCAGCCCGTCCTTGGAACTGCTGGGACACGGCGACGAGGGGACGGGCGCGCGGCATGCCTCGCCCACGGGGGACGGAGGGTGACGACTCCTGTCGTAAAGGATTTGGCAGAAGCTGCTGTCGTCTGAAAGGGAACACCAGAGGGGTGAGAAAACACTGGCGGCCATCAACGCTCCCTCTAAGCCGTGGGGTCTTGTGAGCAAAAATTCTACGTGAGCGAGCGATTTGGTGGCTGCACAAATTAGTTTGCTCTGGAGCCCTCCTCCCTGAGCTAAGACAAAAAATGTGTGAGCCGGAGGCTAAAAAGCTGCGAGCTAGCTCACACTAACTCAGCTTAGAGGGAACACTGGTAAAACGGCACGTAGAGTGACTTCTGAAGTAGCGTCTGTCGATATTTTCAGGACTCACTACAAGCGGTTCAGTCTGAGAGAAGAGGAAGAGGAGGAGACTGGATTTACACCCTGCCCTTCACTCGGGAGTCTCAGAGCGGCTTATAATTTCCTCTCCCTTCCCCTCCCCACAACAGACACCCTGGGAGGTAGGCGGGGATGAGAGAGCTCTCTCGAGAACTGCCCTTGAAAGAACAGCTCCGAGAGAACTATGGCTTGCCTAAGGTCACCCAGCAGCTGCAAGTGGAGGCGTGGAGAATCAAACACGATGCCAATAATGGGACTGAGAGTCTCACCCTCGCTCTGGGAGGGGATTTAGACCTGGCTCCCTGCTTCCCACAGCCCACATGGGATTCGGCATTAGCCTTTTCTGTTACACGGAGCTGACACCAGTGAACTCCCGGGTGCAGAAACGGGTACCGTCACATGTATTAACGTCAGTGGTGTAGTTAAGGATCTCGAAGTCAGATGAGCCCTAACCTGGGTGGCCGAGCCCAGCCGGATCTCGTCAGAGCTCGGAAGCTCAGCAGGGTCGGCCATGGTCGGAACTTGGACGGGAGGCCACTGAAGGAGTCCAAGGCAGGCCATGTTCGCCTCTCACCTTGAAAACCCTACGGGGTGACCGTGAGTCAGCCGTGACCTGACCGGCCTTCCCACCACCACCACGTGAGATAAAGAGGACCGGGCCAGCTGGACCAGTGATGTCAGGTTAATATGCTGTAGTGGACATGCATTGACACATAAAAAAACAGATGCCACGGCTAAGTACGAACCAGGACAAAAAGCTACGGAGAGAAGCTTGGCTTTTTTTTAACAGCCAAGGTCACGACGACAGGCAAGAGGTGGGAGCAGACCCCATTCTGAAGATGCCTGGTCCCCAATGCTCCCTTCTAACCCAGGGGTGTCAAACATGCAGCCCCGGGGTCCGGATCAGACCCCCGGGGGGGGGGCTTCTATCAGGCCTGCAGTGGAACTGGCTGTCTTCTGCTTCTTCTTCCAGTTCTGCTGCTGCTGCGTCATCAACAAATATACATCAAAGACAGGGGGTTGCAGTTGGTATGACTAATACAAAGCAAAAACTGCAAATTGTGCAAACAATGCTTATAATACTACAGTGATATGCTAGAGCACTCGGAATTACAGAAATGATTTTAGAAGACGTGATACAAAATTCTCCTTCTGTTACAGACGTGACGAAATTCTCCGGAGTAGACCTTCCGTTTCGTAAAGAACTTCATCAAAACATCGATACTCAGAAAAGACTTGACTTGCCCGCGTTTGTGAAAAGATTGCAAAATTAGTGGATGAGAGTGCGTCTCTCCTGGAGGAAATTGATGGGAAAGCATGGAATAGTTATGAAATAAGAAGACACATCTTTTCTGAGTATCGATGTTTTGATGAAGTTCTTTACGAAATGGAAGGTCTACTCCGGAGAATCTCGTCACGTCTGTAACAGAAGGAGAATTTTGTATCACATCTTCTGAAATCATTTTTTGTAATTCTTTCTAGCATATTACTGTGATATTACAAGCATTGTTTGCACAGTTTGCAGTTTTTTCTTTGTATTAGCTGCGTCATCAACGGCATACTCGAGATTTCTACAGCACAGACACTTTGATGCAATACTTCAGAGCAAGAGGTGTCAGTTACCAGACACTGTTGAATAAAACATTGCAAGACTGCTAATGTTTTAAGCATGTTCTGAAGTTTTTTTTAAAAAAAAACCTTTGCGTTTGTGTCCTTTATAAAGTTTATCTCTCCGCTGCCTGGCATTACATTTTATGACACACGTGGCCCGGCCCGACAAGGTCTCATTTATGTCAAATTTGGCCCTCATGAGTTTGACACCCCCTGCTCTAAGCTGTGGAGTCTTGTGAGCAAAAATTCTACTTTGTGAGCTGCTGGCATTCGAGTTGTGAGTGAGTGATTTGGCCGCTGCATAAATCAGTTCGCTCTGGAGCCGCCCTTCCCGAGCTAAGACAAAAACATGTGAGCCAGAGGCTAAAACACTGTGAGCTAGCTCACACTGACTCAGCTTAGAGGGAACACTGCTGCGCACCCGTTTCCTTTCTCTCGTGTAGCGAGTGGCTGTCATTCGTTCTTATGGGAGGAAAATATTGTGCTGTGATTCAGGAAACTATTTCAGTAGGACTAAAACCTGTTGATTGTCCCACTCGTGTAGCGAGTGGCTGTCATTCGTTCTCATGGGAGGAAAATACTGTGCTGTGATTCGGGAAACTGTATTTCAGTAGGACTAAAACCTATTGATTGTCCCATGTATGCACTTGCTTGCTTTCGTTTTCATATGTAGACCTGTTGATGCGCTTAATTGCTTAGCTGCTGGAATGTCTATATCTCTCAAGGCCACAGGTGGTCGCTGCTGGATAGTTGCTTGGGTGATCTCACGGAGGGCCGTGGGAAGGAGATATGTTATGCCGCCTAGAAGCGTTTGCTCCCAGGCCCGATGGCACGCGCGGGAAGTCCCGCAATTGGGCCTCAGCTGTTTGAATATACTATAACCTGTCATGCTCGTTGCATCCCCCCTCATTCCTAACAGTGATCCTGTACATGCACCTATAGCTTCAAATAAAGTAAAACCTTTCTGCAAGAGTGAACTTCATTGATGCTGTGGGGAAGCCTGACACCACCACCCCCAGCTCTGGGAAGATGAGAAATTACCAGATAGGTACAATGCATGTAACCCCACCCATAAAACTAAGTCCTGGATGCCAGCAGAGGCGTACTGTGGTGTAGTGGTTACAGTGCTGGGCGGGGATGCGGGAGACCCAGGTTCAAAGTCCCATTCTGCCACAGAAGCTTCCTCGGGCCAGTCACACTCGCTCTGCCTAACCTACCTCGCGGGGTTGTTGTGAGGATGAAAGGGAGGAGAGGGTAAACGACGCATGCCACTTTGGGTCCCTATTGTGGAGACAGGTGGTGTATAAATGAGGTGAGTACGTAAAACAATAAATAAGTTCACTGGTAAAGGCACAGAGGCCAAGCTTCAGAACGTGACCCAAGCTATTTCTCCTGGGAGGCTCAAAACTGGAGCTGGTTCTTCTTCGGGGATTCGCTCCACAACCCAGGTTTGAAATCATGTAATATTTGAAGGGCTGTCAGATCTATTCTCTCTTGCTCCAGACTGCAAGAGCAGATCTAATGGGTGGGAATTACAAGGGAGTCAATACCAGCTGAATATCAGGAGAAACTTCCTAAATGTAAGAGTGGTTGAGCAGTGGAAGAAACTGCCTCGGGAGGTGGTGGAGGCTCCTTCGCTGGAGGTTTTCAAGCGGAGGCTGGACGACCACCTTCCGGGTATGTTGTCGGGCTGTCTTTCGGCAATGCTCCTGCAGAGTGCAGGGGGTTGGACTAGATTAACTGCAGGGTCCCTTCCGGCTCTAACATTCTATGAAGTCTATGAGAAGGAAATTACCAAGCCCCTAGAAGCTCGCTTTTGTCGTCCATCCTGTTTAGGCCTCTACAACATTACCAAAAAAAGCAACGGAACCGGTTTGTCAAGCGATTCCAACAGGCTGAGAAGACTGAAATAAACGCTTCAAGATGTGATTAATCTTTAACACCCAGCCAAACACATAACTGGATGCAGGCAGACACGAAAATTGCTTTCCTTTTCAAGTCGGCTTTCTAGGTTGAAGGAAGGCCCAATCCATGCACAAAGTGTTTATGCAACAACAAAAATTGCACTGTCTGAATACACCATGAGGGGAAGAGAACATTACAATAAACTCCAGGGGCATTCGGTGACCTTAGTATACAAAGAGAACTTAGAACAACTCAATTAAAGCTACGGCAACTGCAGGGAGCCGTCTGGAAAAGCTGACAAGGGCTGACAAAGAGAACTTTTTCTCCCTCTCCCAAAAGGCTAGAACTCAGGGGCACCCAAGGAAGCTGTGGGGCAATAAATTCAAGACAGACAAAAAGAAATACTTCTTTACACAATGCGTGATTAAAGCGTGGAATCTGCCGCTAGAGGATGTGGTGAAGGCCACAGGCATAGGTGGCTGTAAAAGAGAGACAGATTCATGGTCTAGCAGTGGTTACTAGCCATGGTGACTGAATGGAACCTCTGTATCCCAGTGACAGGAGACAACGTCAGGGAATGGAACTGGTTGGTCCCTGTGTGAGACTGGATGGTGGACTAGATGGATCTCTGGTCTGATCCAGCAGGGCTCTTCTGATGTTCTTATCTGGGAAAGGCCTTGGCCTCCCTGCCCTGTTGCTGGCCCTCCGAAGGAACTGGCTGGCCCCTGTGTGAGATGGGAGGCTGAACTAGAGGGACCCTCCCTGGTCTGACCCAGCAGGGCTCTTCTGATGTTCTTCTCAGGGGAAGGCCTCGGCCTCTCTGCCCTGTTGCTGGCCCCTCATTGGTATGATCCAGCAGGGCTCTTCTGATGTTCTTACCAGGGGAAGGCCTCGGTCTCTCTGCCCTGCTGTTTGCCCTCCAGAGGAATTGGTTGGCCACTGCGTGAGACGGGATGCTTGACTAGATGGACCCTCACTGGTCTGATCCAGCAGGGCTCTTCTAATGTATTTACCTGGGGAAGGCCTCAGCCTCTGTGCCCTGTTGTTGCCCCTCTAGAGGAACTGGTCGGCTCCTGTGTGAGACTAGATGGACTAATAAGCATATGGAGCAGAGGTCCATCGGTGGCTCTTAGCCACAAGGTATAGATAGGAACTCACAGTCCGGGGCAAGTGATGCTCTGTGTTCTTGGTGCTTGGGGGAGGGGGGGGAACAGTGGGAGGGCTTCTAGTGTCCTGGCCCCACTGCTGGACCTCCTGATGGCACCTGGTATTTTTGGCCACTGTGTGATACAGAGTGTTGGACTAGATGGATCATTGGCCTGATCCAACATTGGTTTCTCTTATGTTCTTATGACCCTCACTGGTCTGACCCAGCAGGGCTCTTCTGATGTTCTCATGAAAAGCATGGAAGTGCTCAAACTGGTTACTACAGTGGGATACCTGATTCATATCCCCAACCACAGGCCACTAGAGAGAGCCCCACCTGGACGTTCAGTGCACCATCTAGAGAGGAAAAGAGTCTGTGGAGCGCCAGCCCCACCCCCTCCCCTCCCCTCCCCCGACTCTTACCTGAAGAATGCACAGAAACCGCGCAGGCCACGAGAGAATAGCTGGTATTGAGGAGCACCACTTGGTCCTTCTTCAGCTGGAAGGCTGGCTGGAATGTGGGGAATGGGTAGACCACCTGGTACTTGGTGTGCAGCATGAAGCCGTGCTGCAAACATTTGGCGTTGGGATCACCTGAGGGAGCACACACAAATCAGCACCAGCAAGGACCCAGGGCAAGTTATGCGCACAGGGAGCAGTGAAAAGAAAGCAGCTCTCCAAAAAAACACTTGGCGGAACGCTGGAGGTTTCTGATAACGGATTCACTGCGGAGATATAATTAGGGATGGGCACCAACCGCATTTTTGCCGTTCGGTTCGTTGCTGAACCAGAAACTGAACCATGAACCAATATGAACAGGGCAGTTGGTTCATCAACTGAACACGTTCATATCAGTTCATGACCCCTGCTTTCTGCTCCCCACCGCTTTTTTAGGGAAGCAGAAAGCAGGGCATTAAATGGCTCGAGGCCATTTAAACCCGTTTTCTGCTCCCCACTACTCAGCTGTTTTTTGTGAAGAGCAGAAAGCAGGGGTTTAAACCCCTGCTTTCTGCCCTCCACAAACTGCCACAACATTCATGGAAGTTCCTGATGGGTCTTCAGTTGGTGAACATCGCTTCGTGATCCACAAACTGGCCCAAATTTGTCACAACCTCTCGTTCATGAGCTGGATGTGCCAATCCCTATATATAATTCCAGATATGTGATAGGAACTCTTGAAAATTAATATGGGAATGCTACATGTTCTGAATTTTAGGACGGGGCAGGCTGCAAAATTCAAGAAGTGTTTTATTTATTGTACACTTTTACTGCCTCTGACTGATTACTGGCTTGATTATTGTGAAGGGGGGCCTCAAATGACTGGCAGCAGACAAAATACGAAAGCTCTTCCAACACGGAAAAGGCAGTAACATTTTCCAAACATTAACCCTCGAGATTCCCTTAGTCAGGCTCTAACTACTACAACGGGGGGCCCCAGACTTTTTGAACCTGCAGGCACCTCAGGAATTCTGACACTGTGGTGGGGATAACCACACACGGGATACCCTGGGGCTGCTGCCAAACCAATGTTTCAGAAATCTGCACAGGCAACCAAACCACCAGTAACCAATCAGCAGCCCTGTTGAGCAACAACCCCAGCCAGCCCCCACCCACTTTCTAAAAGTGGGTCACTTCCAGACTAGATGGTCCGCAAACTGCACTGGCTGCCCATTGAGTACCGGATCCGTTTCAAGGTGTTGGTGCTTACCTTTAAAGCCCTATACGGCCAGGGGCCAGCATATCTGCGAGACCGCCTCTCCCTCTGTGAGCCCCGAAGGGTTTTACAATCTGCCAATCAACACCTTCTGGTGGTCCCTGGCCCCAGGGACGTCCATCTCACCTCGACTAGGGCCAGGGCGGAATGAGCTCCCATGCAAGATCAGGGCGCTGCAGGACCTTTTACAGTTCCGCAGGGCCTGCAAGACGGAGCTCTTCCGCCAGGCTTTTAACTACAGTGACGGACGTCCCTCCCTCTTCTCTGGGCCTCCCCTCAGTGGGTCAGAACTGCTTACCAAAGATGGCATCAGTGAGACCTAATTCTAATGACAACTGCACCGGCTGAAGGATAGAGTTGTAATTTATTAGTGCTTTAATTATATTTTCACCAATTCCTTTGTATTTTATATACTGTATTTTTTATTAAATCTGATGTAACCCGCCCTGAGCCTGTCATGTCGGGAGGGCGGGACAGAAGTCGAATAAAATAAATAAATGAATGAATAGATAAATAAGAACACCTGACGGGCACGGTCCCTCCCACGGGCGCCATGCTGGGGGGCCCTGCACTACACCGTTGCTTCTCAAGTCTGTTAACAATATAAATCACTCCCACCGTCGTTTGTCACAATTAAAGATGCCCTGCAAGAGAAAGGAAGATCTGCCCCTGTGCTGGGGAGGGTCCGCCTCACCTGGATGGGCGATGGCCACGTCCCTGCAGCTGGGACAGTGCACGAGAGGAGGCATGGCGACGGTGCTGATGTAGATGTCCCGGTGGTTTTCGTCGCTCATCATCATGTTTATTAGCAGGCCGTTAGATGAGCGGGTGCTACAGAGGAAGAGGAAGCAGCAGTCAGTTTCCGAGAAGGCTGCGAAGACCCACCCGCCTGCTAGCCCTTACAAATCAAACAGAGAGGCCTTCTCAAGGCCACTGACACCCTTCCCCCCCCCCCCAACAACATCCAACTAAGGGCCACCGGCCTCAGGAAGG